CACCTGCCTAAAACTTTTGCACAGTACTGTACATCTGATAGTTCCCAATATAGAATGAAACTGGTCATGTGTTGCCTCCTGATGGTCAATATGAATAAAAACATCATGAAGTCCCATTGTCATCCTCCTGCACCCTCACCAGAAGCATCCATCCATTCAGACCTCCATTCTTGAATGGTGGCAGCTGAAATGTCCCCCAGTCAACATCACCTAAAGCCTATGTATTTACAAGTTTAGCCACTGGTAAGAGCCAATGAAATATCTCCCTTTAGTTGCCTGCAACAGCGCATCCCTCTCTGCCTCCTATGTTACCAGTGTAGCTGAAAGAATTCTCCTGTAGGACCTTTCCCCATCTTTCTGGGACATGGAAGCTGGGAGGCTATGTGACTGTAGCTAATTACAGAGTCTCTTTCCATCTCATAACAGTTCTTTTTTATGTATGAAGGGATTCTAAGTCACCATAGAACATATCAAACACTAGGGGAGCCCAATTAAAGCCTTTCTTTATCACTGACTTACCAGAACAGCCTGACAACCTGGATTTCATACCCTGTCCCCAGGAAGCTACCTTTGTCTCATTCCAGGCCCTGAGTTACACAGCCTTATCCTGCTGTTTTCCACACTGCAAAACACAGAGTGAAAGGAGTCAGGGCGATGCATAATGGTGCCAGCAGTTCTTCATGGTGCTACAGCAACGGCTGGATTCCAGCAAGGTTTGCTGCTGTGCAAAGGTTCTTCATATGTCACAGCAGAAACAACCAGGTGTCTTCTAGCCCCTTAAAGGTCATTAAATCAAACATGGAACAAACTTTATGGACTAAAGTCCACTTTGCCAGACACACTCAAACTGAGTTATTTTTATAACGGATTCACCAGGGGGTTGTCCATAAATGTCATCATACCCAACACTTAGTTTGGTGAAGAATATAATTCTTCTCCCTGCAACAGAACTCTGTAAGTAGCTATACTCCACTTGATCAATAGTCAGCTGTAGCCACTCTACTTGTAAGTGGGAAGCAGACAAAGGGGAAAACTGACAAATGGGATACTGCTAGCCCCTGCAAGGAGCCAAAAAATACCCAAATGTAGTCCTGTGATTTGCATATACTGCAATGAGAGGAAAGCAGCAGCTGGTTACAAAGCTAATGAGCCATAGTTAGATAATGAAAATCCGTTTGCTCTCTCAGAGTATAGCTGAAGTCAGACTAAACTTGCCACCTTAACTGATTTTTTTCTTTTTTCTTCCTTTAGGTCTTGGCCAAACATTTATTTTTCCAGATAAAAAGGCTGGTAGAAAAAGCCAAAGGAGATCAGGCATCAGAGATTGGTGACTAACTGCCTCCTCCAATGTGATGGGACGTAGTAGCAGAACAATGATCCTAAGGGGTAGATTAACCTCTGCCCCCGACTATATGATTTTCATGATCTTAATACAAAGATTTACTCCTTACTGTTTGCTCCATTAAGAAAAACTCACTGGTTGTCTTGAAGAGGATAACAGCAAATCTGTGGGAAAAGGAAACATTTCATTCTGGGGGGAAGAGAAAGTTAGACTGGCAGAGACCCCTGAGGCGTAATTCAGTTTCCCATGCTCACTGGGAAAGCCTGATCACAGATTTTCCACTCAAATTAATTGGTCCTTTGTTATTCTGCTATATAAGTTGCTACATAATTTCCTACTTTGTCATATTTTATGCAAAACTCTTGCTTTACTTGAGCCAGAGGATGGAGTGGCATGACCCTGATTTCCTTCAATCTTTTATAGTCTGCAGAAAATTACCTTCTACTCTGGATTTTTTTTTTTAATGTTTCTTTTTGGTTCTTTCTCATTTCTTAAAATGTACATATAAAAATATGTTTCTGGTGGTCTACTCACTAATCTCTTACTTTAGTTTTTGATTGATAGAAGTGGGGCATCCAAAATATTTCATGCTTTTCTAGGTCTTTTATGTTACCTCTATATTAAGAGTTTGCCCACCCACCTTAGCAGATATCACACAGATTGACATGAAATTGCTGGGCCACAGGGACATTTCACATTTTTTGCAAAGGCAACTTTGGATTTGCCACTGCGTATATAGTTTTAAAAAATCATCACTCAATCATGGCTTCTTGAAGGATACCTGATGTTTCACAGAGACTTTTTTTTCATGCAGACTTGGGTGTTTTGCTGGTTGGTTTGTCTGTTTTGCAGGTTTCTTTTTTAAAAAATTCTAGATAGCGATTTAAAAATTTCAGAAATGCTTTGAT